AACGACAAGGAGTCTGAAAGCAGTCGCCCCAACACAATGTCAGGGTTCTTTGGCCTTTTATGGATCTGAACCAGTTTTCAGTTGTGGACTCCACCAGGTCTCTGGGAGAAAGAACCCTGCAACACCCCAGCAAACATACACAGTAACAATTCCATAAGCCCTTCCCAAAGGGACCCAGGGTCATTAACCTGGGAAAATGTACCTGTGGAAAGGAAACTCCCAAATATTCAGAGGCCCCTTGGACCCGGGGTCCAATGAAGCCTCTGAAACTGTCCCATCCCCAGCCAAGATAGTAAATATAAAACAGTATCATGTGTTGGGGATAATTCTGGAGATTAGTATCATCCATAAGGATTGGAAAGACACTAAAAGAATAGCAGTTCCCATGATGTCTCCATTTCATTCAATAGTTGTCCCCTGCAAAAACTAAGTGGACTTGCAGGATGGCCGTAAATGACCATACACTCAACCAAAGAGTAATCCCATTTTCAGCCACTGTGTTTACCTGCTACAAGCAGATTAGCAAAGCCTCAGGTACATGGTATGCAGTCTGGATCTGGTGAAGGCATTCTTTGCTATTACCTTCAGAAAAGAGGTTAGAGACCATCTGCATCTATGCAGATGAATAACAATATATATTTATAGTTTCACCCCAGAGCTATTAACTCCTCTGCCCTCTGTCATAATACAGTCCAAAGGAATCAACATCATCTAGACATCATGAAAAATGTCACGCTGACCCATTATTTGATGCTCTCATGCTAGTCAGGGCACATGAACAAGAAGTGGCTACATTTGGGAGGCCTTCATAAGACATGTGGATCAGAAGATGGACGAGAACCTATGAAGATTCAGGGGCCTGCCACATGGGTAATATTTTTAGGAGTTCAGTGATAAAGAGCCTGCCAAGAAACCTCACCCAAAGTAAAAGACAAGATATTACACCTTGCACGTCCTACCACAATAAAGAAAGCAACACATCTGATAGACCTCTTTGGCTCTGGAGGCAGCATGTTCCACAGCTGGAAATTACTGCTCTGGCCCATACACCTAGTGACATGAAAGGCTTCTACCTTTGTTGGGGCCCAGAGCAGGAAAGGCCTCTGCAGCAGGTCCAGGCTTAGCTATAAGCAGCCCTGCACTCACTAGCGTTAGAGGTCTAGGTGGTGGGAAAAGACGCTGTGCAGAGCTAACGGCAAGTCCTAGTGGGAGAATCACTACCTACTCATGTGGTGCCCTAAGGGTCTTTGGCAAGGCCATGGCATCTGCCGGGCAGCATCATGTGCCTTCTGAAAAACAGCTGGTGTGATACTGAGTCCTGGTTGACACAGAGTACCTGAACACAAGACACCAGATGAGTATGCATCTGGAACTGCCCATCATGAGCTGAAAGTTATTACACCCACCAAGTCCTAAGGTCAGGCAGACCCAGCAGCAATTCATCATGACTTGTAAGTGTTTTAGCTGGGATCAAGCACAAGGACCTGGGAGCACAGCGTGCAGCATAAGCAGGCAGCCCAGACCCTCATAACTGCCACTGTTGCACGAGTGCCCCTCCCCAGGCTCATAAGGGACCACAGAAGAGCATCCTTTATAGCCAGTGGCAGATAGGGTAAAAACCCAAGCTTGGTTTATAGGTGAGTTGGTTTGGTAGCTAAGTTCAAGCAGAAAGTGGATAGCAGGTGTTCTACAAGGCGTAGCCTTGAAAGACAGAGTCAGTAGTAGAAAGTCTTCCCAAGGGGCAGAGCTTGGACAGTGCACCTGGTCATCTGTTTTGTGTGAAAGGAAAACTGGCTTAATGTTAGAATACATACAGAGTGAAAGGTAGGGGTAGTGGAATGCGGAGGGACAAGGGAGTGGGCAGGAAGTGTGAAGATCTTTGTATTATATGCTAATGCTCATCAGAGAGAATCCACCATGAAAGAGCCACTAACTGTCAAGTAGACAGGATGGCTTGGCCTTCTAAAATCAGACAGCTTCAGCCATTGGCCACTCTGGAGCTAACACAGTGGACACACTAAGGAAGGTGCACTGACAGAGGGAGGGAGGCTATGCATGGGCCCAGCAGACAGTATAGGCTCCCACTAATCAACACTGTTAGTTACTGTTGCTATCAAACCTTCAACCTACCAGCAACAGAGACGAACACCAAGCCCCTGCAAATAGCAGCATTCTTCCAGGAGACGGAGACCAATAGCCTTCTCTGCAGCAAGTTAACTTTTTGGGGAGCCCTTCCATCCTGCCAGTGAATCATTATCACAGGAGAATGTATATTCCAAATAGCATCCTAACAAAATAATCTTAACCCATAAGAAACACATTCATTTCAATTCCCGGACTCAAGCCACCCCAAAAAGATTATGCTAAGAGGTGTTGATCATGTTTTCCAGCAGCAATTCATATCAACATTCTAGAATGAGCTACAGCTAAAGTCTTAGGCTAATATACTCCCATCTATGAAATAATCTCCTGGGATTATTTACTCTGTGCTTTTACCAACAGTCTGTACCTGAACTTAAACTGTCTCAGCACTCAACTAACTGCCTTTGGAATGCCTCCCGCGTTTAGGGGTTGAATATTGTTGAATTGCAAGCTCTGTTATCAGGTAAATGGTGGTTGATGTTATAAAAGCTTGCTAAATGCCATTATAAAATGATTATTTATGCTATACAAATACTTTCTTCTGTTGTCATTTGGAGAAGTGACAAGTCTCATAGTTCACCTTCCTTTGTGAGTTTCTAAGTAAGTGACCAAGGACTTTTACAAATGCAGATGTTTTAAAACAATGTTTTCTTCAATACTTCGTATTCTACCTGAGCTAGGAGGAACAACGTGCCTTTCCAGCAGACAACAAGGGTAGAAAAAGCTTACGAAGTGGGTAGAGTGAGCAGAAAGCTGCCATAGCATATAAGGAGAAGGATAAGCTTTCATGATCAAGGAAAGGGAAAGCATTGGGGGAGCCGCGTGGGAGCCTAAAGCACCTCTGTCCACTGCTCTTCATTACACATTAGAAAGCACATTTTGGAGAGGGAAGAGATTCATATGGATTGTTTCACAACACAAGTGGCTTTCCTTTTTTGGGTTAGCTTTCTCTTTGCTAGTTTTTATTCTCATGTGTATATGTTTAACACATAAAGTCATTTGCTGATTGGGGGATTGGAGGTGGGAGCTGGAAGACAGGGAATGGATAAAGCTCTTCCCAGATTTGACGTTTGGTTGAAGCCTGATTACGGAGTCTAGGGCCTGAAGTCAGAAGGTTACACTGTCATATATCTATGTAAAGGAGCCCCTGGGGCTTTGTGCTGGGTAAGAAAATTCAATTGTACCCCCAAGAAAAGCAGCCAGTATGAAGTTTCCTCCATAAAGCTTCAGAGAAGGGACATCGTGGCTCTGAGAAAGTGCTCTGAAAACTGGACCAGCACGTTACAATTGATCGTACTTTACTATAATTTATGTCTTTTGTAATCAAAAGGTCTTCAAAGTGTTCAAAAGTAGATAAAACAGGAAAATATGCCCTTAAGGATGCAAATGGCAGCAATATTTACAAAATGGTGAAAATCTGACAAATATTTACTTAAGAATATAAATTTAATTCAGAAGTGTCCTTGACAAATTGATTAATTTTTAATCTTTTAAATGCCCAAATGATGGGAAGGAAGGAAGGGAGGGAGGGAAGGGAGGAGAGGGAGGGAGGGGACCCCTGAATAGATGAAAAACCTCAAGGGGTTTTTTTTGAGCGTTCGATCATGATAAGACACTGGCTCCTTTTGCTATAAGCCAAGTTAATATTCTCAGCTAATGTTTAATGAAAATTAATTGCATGCTAGGAACTTTGAATTATATGGATTATCACAGTTAATCCACATAATAGCTCTATGAGGTAGGTGTTATTTTCTCCTGTTTAACAGATGAGGAAAACTAGGTTTAAGGAGAAAAAGTAACCTGACCCATGTCATTTTCCCAGTAAAAAGTAGAACTGACATCTTAACTGAGAGGAGCAGGAAATCTGAGTCCAGAGTCCGGGCAATCAAAAATGACACTATACTGCTCCATAAGAAGTGGAAGGGGAGAATCTCACCAGGCATTAGCCACCTCTCTACCACCTACATGAGGGTCACTCATTTCTAGAAATGAGTCTCTGAAGGCAGGGCCGCTGTATACAGTTCTTCAGGTTGTGCACTGCTCAAGAACACCATTACTAAGGAGATACCATTCACACTGTAGATGTATTTTAATTACTATGAGAGGCTGTGGACGGAGGTGAAGATCTGCAGCTCTAGCACTGGAAGCTGCTGACTAAATCCTCGGAGAGTACCACACACAGCTGTGCACACAGTCACCAGCACACACGAGTGCACAATTGCCCTGTCACCGCCGAACTCCAAGCACCCCATAGAGTTGTTTTTCTTCCTCTTCTACTGCTTTCAGTGACTCAGTTTCTACCCTCAATCTGCCTTCAAATTTGGAAAGGGAAATGCATGGAGAACACATGCTGCCATCTATGGCCACAGCAAATTACACAATATACCAACTGAATTTATTCTTAAGGAAGCATTTCCCTTTCTAACTGGCCCAGAGGTGCTGTATTATCATATTTATCAGGGGTCCTAGTGAGGGTCCCTAATTACAGCTTGCAGTGCCCCCACTCCTCTTGGGCCATTCATTGCTGAGTGCTTCAGCTGTACCAGCCACTTTAATGTCAGTTTCAGACCAACAGAGATTGGAAAATCACATCTTTTACAAGGAGAAAAAAAGACATGAACTATTTTCCAAAGGGAAATATTGGGGTACTTTTCAAGCGTGTCATCTATCTGGGTAAGCCACACTTCTCTACGTCCTCTTTCCATGAAGATTGTCTCGTTTACTGCATTGTGCTTTGTCAGGGACATGAATTAGTAACCACCAGCTCATGCCATTGAGCCAAAGTCAGTGACCCAAGCTTCTCTATGAGAGTTGGAGGAGCCAGTTCAGCTGGAGGGCACCAGCTGCCAGCCAAATGACAGGGGAATTCCTCTCCTGAATTTTGCATTTTCCCTGTCTTCATGCCCAGGCTGTTGCATCACTTGTCTGGGAGATGCCTGAATGGGCCAATAAGCTGGGGCACGCTAAATAGTCTGGGACCCCGAACTAGAGGGGACACGTGAGGAGGAAGGACATGGATCAGTGTTTTTTTTCTTGAAGCTACTGTTGCCACTTCTGGAAAGGTTTTTCAGGAATAAGTGACAGTAAGAACAACAAGGGATTAGAACTGGCCTCCTCTTATAAATAATAAAATCCAGAGAGAAGTGACTTGAGTTGAGTAGCAGAGCTACGCCTTGCACCCCGACCTTCTGGTGCTAGCTCAAGCTGATTTTTGACATATTGCCTTGACTTCTCAGTCTCCAGGTTTAAAGAAAAGGAAGTAGAGGACATCCAAACACCTGCATCTCATAAGGAGAAGAAAAGTCCACCTGGATCTTATTTACAGACTGCGATGGATGCAGAAGCCACAGTGAAGTCCAGAGAACAAAAGGTGAAATGAGGCTCTATCCTGGAGGTTGGGGTCTTGCCTCTGAATGTGGGGGGTGAATTGAAGCCATAGCTGTCACACATGCTCCTCAATGCCCTCCCCAGAGCAGGTGGGCTCCTGCCCAGGAAGCCAGGGAAGGATTCTGGAGTCCAGGACACAGGGGCTCTCTCTCAGCTCCCTACTATTCTGCTCACTCTCACCAGAATGCATGGCTCCATAGAAGTCCTGGGTAATTTAGAACCAAAAAACATTAGAGAAAGAAGAGACATGGAGAACATGCAGGCAAAGCTCTTCTTTAGGGGAGAGGAACCGAACATTGGCCAAGTTATTGTATCAGCCTGAGGCTGCTGCAGCTTCTGAGTCCTGGTACCGTGCTCTCTTCTGTATATCACACTGATGCCTTCCTTTCTTTTCTGCTGCCCATGGGATGTAGAGAGGGGATAGGAGTGAACTGAGGCTCAGAGGGCCAGTAGGGATCTGGGAAGTCATACTGCAGCCTATGCTGAAGCTGAGGTGAGGTACATGCTCTTCCCAGCAAGACAAGAGGGACAAGAAAGTCCCCTCATGTGGTCTCATCCCCTAAAATGCAGTGTGCAGTCCCAGAGGCTTGTGGTCCCAGGCTACTGAATTATGACTCCGTCTCCTGGAGAAAGGATTTCTGAAGGTCATTGGCAGAGAGGGTGACTTGGAGACATTCCATTGAATATTATCCTTCCAACCTCCAATCAAAGGTGATTAATTCCCTGGAAACATTTTATCTCATAGTCCTGCTTCCTCATTGCCCCATGGAGGCGGCTTTTCTTCCTGAAGCCCAGAAACTGTTGCACCGGTGGCTTCAGAAAAACTGGATGGTGTGATGCTGAGACTTCGGCCTCAACATGTGCTGTGTCAGCACCTAACGTTTTAGAAAAATTTGCCAGGGGGGAGCCTGGGTGCCAGCCCCAGAATCAGCCGAGACTTGGCAAATATTAATCAAATTGTGAGTTAGGTGCAGGAACCCCCTGGGAGAGTCTCTGTAAGAGTCTGCTGGATCTTATTTACGGACTGAGATGATTGCAGAAGGAAGCTCTGCAAGGCAGGGAGAGGTCTGAGACCGCCATCACAGTGCCCAAGCTAGGGGACTTGCTGGAGGGAAGGCACAGAAGGAGGCGTAAAGGGCCTATGGATCTTTAAAGATCTGGCCACTCTTGGGGCTCAAACTGGATAGAGCAAGCAAAGGGCTTAGTGGAGAGGGCTGGGCAGAGCAACGCTGAGGGGACAGCTCACCTGACAGGGCCACCCCATGGACTCTCTGCTTTTCTTCTCTCCTCTCTCTTCCCTTTTTCCTTCTCTCACCTCCCGCCTTTCCTTTTCTTTACCCCTTCTCCTACTTCTTCTGCCTTCTTTTTCCCCCGGTTTCCTGTTCCTCTTTGTGATTCCCTCCTGCACAACCCGTGTCCCAAGCTGCCCAGTGGCTTTGCGTGGCTTAAACTGTTTGGGGAGTGAGGGGGTTTCTGCCCATGGGCCAAACCGTTGACTGTTAGCGCCTGTCATTAACATTAATGAGGAACATATTAGAGTAGGAAGAAAAACACAATGGCTAACTTTAGTTTGCTTTTTAAAAAATCTATAGGTCCCGGAAACAGAAGAATGGATAGATGCAAATAGTAGATTCAATCAAAAAGCATCCATGAATACTCTCTGGGGAATACAAAAGAAGTATAATGCACTAATGCACAATCTCTATCTTTTTTTTGAGATGGAGTCTCGCTCTGTGGCCAGGTTGGAGTGCAATGGTGCGATCTTGGCTCACTGCAACCATTGCCTCCCGGGTTCAAGCAATTCTCCTGCCCCGGCTTCCTGAGTAGCTGGGATTATGGGTGCACATCACCATGCCTGGCTAATTTTTGTATTTTTAGTAGAGACAGGGCTTCACGCTCTTGGTCAGGCTAGTCTTGAACTCCTGACCTTGTGATCCATCCACCTGGGCCTCCCAAAGTGCTGGGATTACAGGAGTGAGCCACAGCACGCAGCCACAATCTCTGTCTTTTTAATCAGCAAGCAGTGAAAGACCATTGAGTTGTGATCGGTGTAGTGTCCACTAAAAGAAAGGAGAGTTACTGTTCACAATAGCTGTGCACTGCACTCTTACAATGTGCTAGATCCTGTTTGAGAGCCTGAAGGTAGAGGGATGAAACCCAAAGCCATCCCCTCTGGAAGCTCCCTAGACCAGTGGGAGAGAACAGAGTGGAGCGAAGGTCAGCATGAATGCGGGGACAGAGAGGACCTTCTAGAAGTTTGGAGAAGAAACAGAACAGCACCCTAGTGCAGAGAGCTACTTGGCCTGAGATTTAATTTTTAACTCCTTGTTACTGACCAGAGGCACACTAACAGTGAAACAGAAATCTTCCCTTGAAAAAAATCGACTCCCCTTCTGCAAACAGGAAACCGTGAGGAGAGGAGCAGAAGCTGGCTCATGGCCGGCACTTTACCAAGATCTCACTTAAGTTGTATAACAACGCCATACAGATTCTGTCATATTCCCCTGGAGAGGAAACAAATCCCTGAGCCTCACTCTCCAAGGTCCCACAGTTCCAACTAGAGTTTGGAGTTCAAACGTGGTCTTTCCACTACACGGTGCTCCCCACAAACCCAGAGCTCCAGGCTGGCAAGTGGGTGCCCGGGCTAGAATCCTACAGAGGGAGTTTCACCTCTTCTGAACACAGAACCCTCAAGGGTAAGTGACATTTTAACCTTGTGGACATGACCCAAAGGTGCATGCTTAGGAGGGTGAGGATAAGGTCATGCTTTCTCAGGGAGGGAAGTGCTTGTTTTACTCTCAGATATCTGCAACCCAGCTCCTGTACCAAGGAAACCAAGATCCCAAGGTGAGAAGATGCTTGTTCTCTCAAGTCCCGTCACCTCTCACCCAGCTTCTCTCAGGCCTCATTTCATTTACAGTGTTTTTTGCAGGTCACCAGCAGGAGGGCGGGATGGAAAATGCCCTTCTTCCTCATGCTGTGCCTGCTACAAGGTGAGTTCCACACCCAGCCCAGGTTCAGGGCTTGCAAAACCAGACCTGAGTCTTTCAGGCTGCAGAGATTCCTAGCAGGCGCTACAGCGACATTCAGCACAGTTTGGGCATATCCACAGCTTCTTTCCTGGGATCCAGGGTCATGCAGTGGACCCGGAGAGTGGTCAGATGTGGGCCCAGGAGGAATGAGGGTTGTGGGGGTCCACACGAGAGAGCAGAAGCTTGCCGTGAGCAGAAGCTTGCCTTGAATAGTCTGTTTTGATAGTCCCCTTCCCCCTGCTCTCTTGCATTTAATTGATGACTAAAAGTCAGCTGAATTTTCAAGACCAGGGTTCTAGGGCATGCAAAGCACAGAAGGAGGAGTGTTTCCTGACCACTCATTCTGCAGACACTGAAGTGCCAGGCCCAGCACCAGGGACATAAAGAGGAAGACCCTGCTCTGCTCTGAGTTCAAAGAAACTACATAGGCAAATAAATAATTATATTCATTCATTTACTTATTTATTCAACACACATTTACGAAGAGGAGTTCAACATGTGCCAGACACTGGGGACAAGATAAATGAAAGGCAGGAGTGCTGTCCTAAAGGCCCTCGCCTTTAAAAATGTGCTATATGGTAAAGCTGGCCAGGTACAAGCCAGGCTCAGATGACAAGTGGCCCTGTCTTCATGCTGTAGTAGCTGGATTTCATTCTGATAGTAATAGGGAGCCATTGAGGAATATAGTGAGTATGTGCCGAGAGTACCCAGCACCTAGAAACTAGTCCCAAGTAGATGCTTAAAAAATAGTGACTGAATAAATTAATGAAGGAATGGAAATTCTATGATAATACCCCCCAAAAAAGGTTTGACAATTGGCTTAAAAACAAACCAAAGTTTCAATGAATCAAATGTAGCCGATATTTCAGTAAGCACTCTGCGTGATAAAATCACACCACCTCTTTAATCTCCTGCTCTCCGTTTGAAAATTTTTTTGTAAGAGCAGGCTTCCCCTGCCCCAAATGACAACTGAGGCAGGGCTATGATTTTTTTTGCTAAGTAATGGTTCTAAATTAATTGGCTTAAGTCTCAAATGTTCTAAATTTGATAATTTTAAGTTTCCAGTTAAATACTTTGGTCAGCACTTTAATCTTCATTTAAAGGTATACGCTCTCATCCCCCCTCAGGCCTGCAGTCCAGGAAGAGGGTGTGGTTGCTGCTTTCCTTCTTCCCCACCCTTCTTTCCTCCCCATCTAGGCTGCTACTGCCTGGGACCCCAGCAGGGTGGTAGCAGTGGGAAGGAGGAGCTGCAGGAGGGCAGGGAGCTCTGACTTGATGGATGGCCTGGAGCTCTCTGATCTGGCAGGGGTTTGGAGCTGGCTGTTTGCATCTTCCTCTGTGGTTGTCTTTGCGGACACATGGATGGCCGCTGATGACCCGTCTCCTCCCTTTGCTGCAGGTTCTTCTTTTGCCCTTCCACAAAAAAGACCCCATCTCAGAGGGCTGTGGGAGGGCCCTCTCCCCTCCAGGACCCATCTCCAGGCCACGGGAACGCTCATGCCTTCTTCACCCCTCTGCTGGCGGGAGGGGAGCTCCTTCGCAGGTACAACCCCTACCCTTCCTTTGTCCGACCTCAGACCTCAGACCTCTCAGACCAAGTCAGGCTCCCTACAGCTCTAGGCAGTCCTAGCCTCTCGTAATAGACACCATAGCGATAGACAACTAACTGCTGAGTAACAGTGACGGATTGAGAGCCGGGGCACCCACCTCCATGGATAGGCAGAGAATTGGCATCAGGGTCCTCAGGTGGGCACACATTGACTCTAAAATACCGGCCTGGTCTTGAATTCCCGCAGGTAGTTAATATAAAATTTCCCAATGTGTAATTATGATGTGTAACAAAGAGCTACCAGTCAGTGATCTATCAAATGAATCCTTAAGGTATTGCTTCTTAACTATGATATTAATAAAAACTTATGTGCATTGCAAGGGTTGATTAAGGATTCTTAATTAGCTTTCTGCTATGAAGTCAGATTACCCCATCCTGCTGATTAATGGAACTGTGCCCCTCTCAAATGTGCCACATGTAGATCAGGAGAATTCCTGAAATCTGGGACATGAACACTTTATCAGGGCATCATCACTGATGTCCTGAAATGGCCCCTGTTTGTAATTGTGAATATTTAAAATATTCACAATTGGTAAATTTAAATGGTAATTTAACTTTCCCATTAGTGGCATGGTTTGGGGTGTGTTGTTTAATTAAACTTGCAGTGAGTATCAGTACAGCCATAACATTTACAGCCTCTACTCTTCATGTAATTAGACCTGAATACACACATAAGAGGCAGCAAGGTAGATTTCGCAGGCCCATGCAGTCTCACAGGACCCCATACTCAGAAGGCACTTGGCTCAATGCTCTGCCGTTGCCATCTTGAAATTCTTGATAACTTTTGAACAAGAAGTCCTGCACTTTGGTTTTGCACTGGCACCCACAAACTATTTAACTGCTCCTGGCAATAAGATTATATTAGGCCATTTTTACGGCGCTATAAAGGAATACCTGAGACTGGGTTATTTGCAGAGGAAAGAAGTTTAATTTTGCTCATGTTTCTGCGGGCTTTACAGGAAGCATGGTGCCGGTATCTGCTTGGCTTCTGCTGAGGATTTAGGGAGCGTTTGCTCATGGGGGAGGCAAAGCAGGAGCAGTACAGCACATGGCAAGAGGGGGAGGAAGAGAAGGGGTGGAGGGAGGCCCCAGATCTCACATGAACTAATTAAGAAATAACTTAATTAGCGTCAAGGGTGTAGTCCTAACCCATTCACGAGGGGTCCATCTCCATGACCCAACCATCTCCCACCAAGCATGCCCCGTCCTCCATAACAGGCTTCAAGCCCCACTAGGAGAAAGGGAAAGGTTTCAATTGGGCAAGAGGTTGGAGTTGTAATCTTTCACTGTACCAGGCTAGATGTATAATTTTAGACTAGGTGGGGCTTTTATTATCCAAGAGAGATTGGATACATGAGATGATGCCTCAGATTTCATCAAGGAGCAGAGAAGTCCACGGAGAAGGTATGGAGAGGCAGTGAGAGAAAGAATAAACTTTGTGTCTGCTTACACCCCGTCACATTTCAGTCATCCAGGAAGCTGGCCATATATGTGGTTCAACTACAAATTGTCCTTATGCCTGTTGCCAAGCAGATACATCCTCAGGACTGCTCATCTGTGCTTATATGGTGGCAGTTGGTTGTTTCTGTTTCTATGGAAAAGTGACTAGTGTGAAAACTTTTGCAACCACTGGTCCAGATAGGTACCCACCAAGCAGAACAAGATTCTTGTGTTTCGGGACCCCTGCTCTTTTGCAGATGAAAGGTACATTAATAGGTTCTTACTGTTTAGCATCTCTCTTTCACATTCCATGCAAACCAGAGCCCTTCCATCAGGGAATCATCACTGTTGTCCTGAAAGGGTTCTTGTTTATAATTGTGAATATTTTTGTCTTTTAATGATAAATTACCATCTAATGTTATCATTGGTGGCACGATTTGGGCTGCATTGTCTAAATCTACAGTGAGGAGTGATTGAGTGTCAGATGTGGTCTCAGCCCTCTTACATGTGCTTAGATGGCATCTTTTTAAACATCTGCATTGGAGCACAGGGGAACCCAGGCTCTGGATGGAGCAGGATAGCACAGGGTAAGTGTTAGCTAAATAGTGGGTAAGATTATGATTACGTTTTCATCTTCCATACCTTGGGGCAATGTCTACTTTCCCAGTGACTGAACTCTGCCATTTCTATATTGATTCTCCTCCATATTCACCGTGGCATTTTCTGACCTGACCCCTAATTCTGGCAGAGTTCAGAGCTTGTGACTCCCCAAACAGTGACTATGCTCACCACTCCTCTCCTTTGACTCCCTTCTCTGTCTGCAGCTGCAAATGCATTGAAGGGCCCAAGGCTGGTGTCTGGGGATCCTGGAGGAGCTGTCACCATCCAGTGCCATTATGCCCCCTCATCTGTCAACAGGCACCAGAGGAAGTACTGGTGCCGTCTGGGGCCCTCAAGATGGATCTGCCAGACCATCGTGTCCACCAACCACTACATCCACCATCGCTATCGTGACCGCGTGGCCCTCACAGACTTTCCACAGAGGGGCTTGTTTGTGGTGAGGCTGTCCCAGCTGTCCCCGGAGGACGTCGGATGCTACCTCTGCGGCATTGGAGATGAAAACAACCTGCTGTTCTTTAGCATGAGTCTGACCGTCTCGGCAGGTATGAGCTTGTGGCTGAGGGGCCAAGCTTGATGCTTGAAGGAGAAAGTGAGAGAGAAGGCTCGGCACCCAAAAAGGGCTTGAAAGATTAGGGGAGTGATGGTGGAAAGCTGGGGCAAGGCAAAGACTTTAAGAAGTAGGCTTTCATTTCAGAAGAAGGCTGCCTTCAACAGAAAGGGGGATATTAGGAAAAACTTCCCCAGAGAACACTTGTATGCTCTCCCACCCGATTCCCCCAAATGTCATGAAATACGTATTTGGTGATGGTTCCAAGAGTGGGATAGTGTGGCTTCTTAGGATCCTGATAGCTCCGTGTTCAGACATGCAGAGACGCGACAGCACTGCAGAGAAGGTGTGACAGGCGAGACAGAAAACTTGCAACTGGGCTCGCCCTCGCACGGATGCTTGCTGGGCCCCTCAGCAGACACCTGCCAGCTCCCTGGCCTAGTCCCTCTGCTGCAGGTTCCGGTTGCTGATCCCAGGTCAGGCACCCAGAGCATAGGAAGGGCATCCAGGCTGTGAAAGGCCACTTGGCAGAGGAGACAGCATGACAGGAGGCATCCTGAGAGCAGGTTAGTTCTATCACATGCTGCTCTCCAGCCACCTTTTGCAACTGACTACTCTGCTGGAACTGGAGTGTTTCTTTTGTCTCTTTTGAAGAGCAGTATCTGTTGGGCTGTGGGCCTCTGGAGAATGCAGCGTAAGGATCCGAGGCAGCTGGAGAGAAAATATGTGGGCCTGGGAGAAGGACATAGGAACGTAACATGTCAGTGTCTGCCACAGACTAGAGAATGTTTGCCACAGACTGGAGAATAAAACATTTCCCAATGTTTTATTTTATCCAGCCTGTTAGCCAAAGGCTGCATCTCTTAGTGAGGTTGCATTCCATATTTTAAATCTGGTGTCCTTTGCCAAATCCAATGGATGGCCTGCCAGCCTTCCCATGTGGCCTCCCTCTGCTGTCCCTCCCTCCCACAGGTCCCTCCAGCACCCTCCCCACAGCCACTCCAGCTGCTGGGGAGCTCCCCATGAGATCCTATGGAACAGCGTCTGCAGTGGCCAACAGATGGACCCCAGGAACAACCCAGACCTTAGGACAGAGGACATCATGGAACACAGTTGTTTCAGCTCCAGGAACCAGCGTGACCAGAGCTTCAGCTAAGGGAAAACAAACCTCAGGAGCAACCAGGCCAGCAGCTCCAGGGACAGGCAGCTGGGCAGAGGGTTCTGCCAAAGCACCAGCTCCCATTGCAGAGAGTCCACCTTCAGAAAGCAGAAGCAGAATGTTCAATACAACGGAAGGTGTTTGGGGCAGCACCAGAAGCTCGGTGACAAACAAGGCCAGCAAAGATGGGAGGGAGATGACAACCACCAAGGTCAATAGGCCAAGGGAGGACACAGAGAGGGTCAGGATAGCTCCTGAAGCAGCCAAAAAGGCCCTAGGAACCGTTAGTCCACCAGCTCCGGTCTCAGAAACTTTGGGCTGGGAAATCCTCCCACAATGTTGCTTAGAAACCAGTGTTTCTAGGCAACAATCTCTGGGCCCCATGGGAGAAACAACTCCAGCTGCAGGCGTGTGGACTTTGGGAACCGCCAGCATAGAGGCAGCATCTGGGGAAGGAAGCGTTGCAGGGGACCTAGATGCTGCCACTGGAGACAGAGTTTCCCAAGCAACGCCGAGCCAGGCCCTGGCAGTAGGACCCTGGAGGCCCCCTGGCAAGGAGTCTTCTGTGAAGAGGTAACCCCCAGGCACCTTCTCCGGGTCAGGGGCCCCACGTCTGCCTCATCCCTGGCATGCAAGGGAGGCCCCTCTCCCCCTGCTCACTTCTCTCCCTTTGTACCCATAAGACAGTGACATACGCATCAGATGCCCTCCCTCACTCAAAGGGTCTTGCTGTGAGAACATTCCCTGAGTATCTCCATGTGGTTTTCAAGTGAAATCTAAATGATAGAAAGACAATATTTAGGCTGGAAGCTTCCTCAGGACTTTCTGGTTTTAAAGATGAAGAATAGGAGCTCTGGAGAGAGGGGGTGATGCGCTGAAAACACAAGGGAAGGCTGTGCCAGGGCCCAGTGCTGAGGCTGGAGTCCCTGGCTCCCACCCAGTCCTCTTCTCACTGGGAGGCCTCATGGGGTCCACGCACAGATGGGTGGAAGAGAGAAAAAGATTCAGGCTTGAAAGCCTGAAGACGGAGTTCTAGTCCCAGCTCTGCCACTCATTAGCCATGGAAAGCAGGGCTAACCCCTTGCTCTGGCCTCAGCTTCCCCACCTGTAAAAGGAAGCCATGGGCAAATGGTCTTTAATCTTCTGCCCAGCTCCAACCTCCTCTCTCCTGTGCTCTTTCCATCTTCCCGACTCCAGTGCTTTTGCAGAAGATGAAAGCAACTCTTGGACACTGGCTCCCGTCTCTACGTTGCTGGTCTTATTTATGCTTATGGCTCTGGTTCTATTGCAAAGGAAGCTCCGAAGAAGGAAGACCTGTGAGTTGAGTAGCCCCAAGGCTAGATGGAGGAGTTCTGATTCCCACTTGATACCCTCAGGGCTGGGTAGGGATAGAGTCCTGCCAGGACTTTTCAATGCAAAAGAGCTAAATTCTAGGCTGAGCCATTTAATCATTCTTGGCCTCGGTTTCTTTTCTTTTCTTTATCTTTTTCTTTTTTCTTTTCTTTTTTTGAGACAGAGTCTTCTCTGTTCCCCAAGCTGGAGTGCAGTGGTGTGATCTCAGCTCACTGCCTCCCAGGTTTAAGCAATTCTTCTGCCTTAGCCTCCCAAGTAGCTGGGACTACAGGTGTTCACCACCATGCCTTGCTAATTTTTGTATTTTTAATAGAGATGGGTTTCCACAGTGTTGGCCAGAATGATCTCGAGCTCCTGACATCAGGTGATCCTTGGTTTCCCAAAGTGCTGGGATTATAGGCATGAGCCACCCCACCCAACCTGCCTTGGTTTTTAATCAATAAAATGGGAATTCATCTCTGTACTTATGTGTCAATGGCATTCCAGAGCATAAGGAGAAGCTCCTGGGGGATTACAAAGGCTGTGATGCCCATGTTAACCATAAGCAACATAAGCAACCCTCGCAGCAGAGAGCAGGAGTGCAGGACCCAGACCTGTGATCAAACCTCACATTTGCCCTCTTCTGCATGGCCCTGCTGAAATTCTCCGACAGTAATGTGCCCAGGTGTAAATACTCTTAAAGTGAGAGCTCTGTGATATGTAGACCTAGTAAAGAAAGGGTGAGATTTTTCTGGCAGCTAGTGGAGGAGGCTAAGGTTCTCAGACTCAGGTCCTGAAGTCCGAGTCCTATCAGGGTTAGACTGGCTTAGCCTAACAAACGAGGACTCCATTGACCCTGTGTCAGGAAGTGCTTGAAAACTTGCAGTGTGTGGGAGTGCTTCTTAGGAAATCAAAGTCAGTGCTGTCCGTACCCAGAACCCTCACAGTCTATTCTGTGTTCCTGCAGCTCAGGAGGCAGAAAGAGTCACCCTGATTCAGATGACACGTGTTCTGGCAGTGAACCTCCAACCAGACCAGCTGCCCCATGTGAAAAGAAAGACGCTTCAGGATGACTCTCTCCCCACTGGGACCAGCCTGACTGCCCCAGAGAGGAATCCAGGACCCTGAGGGACGGAAAGATGAACTGCTCAGTCACCGTGGAAGGAGGACCAAGATGAAAGCCCTTCAGGACCCTAGCCTCTTTCCATCATCCTTCCTCCACCTTTCCGCAGCTGGGGCTCCACCCAAGGAAGAAAGGCTGGCCATCCGTGGGCGCAAGAAAGTCAAGCATTGTCCATATCCAAGGTCACAATCTGACTCAAAGGAGACTTCAAGAAAGGTGTATGAAACACTGGAAGAGGTCACCAAGGAAAAGCGTGAAATTTCCATTCCTGAATGTTTGAAAATAGAAGGGGTTCCCAATCAGTGCAGAAAGTGACAAGTCCTCTGTCATCACACCCAGCCTTTGCTGGGGGCCCCTTTTCTGACTACTGTTAGCACTCACATTTAATTATATTTAAGTGTACCAGCCTTGCCTTCTCACGGAGATTCTAAGCTTCTTTAGGGCAGTAATTGTGTTTTATTCATCTCATAATATCCCCCAGAGAACTTCCAACTCATAGGACCCCAATAAATACCTGTGGCTGATTGACTGACTTGGGGGCTTAATGGCCTTTGGGCACTCTGCCCATGCAAGAGCTCTGGGTCCCCCTGGGCTTCTGCCCCTCCTTTTGGGAATCCTCTAGATGACCCCACAGGCAGGCAGTTTCCACACCGAGACCGAAAGAGCAAACAGCCTTGCCTCACGTCATCCCGCCCCATTTAGACCCAGGCTTATTGTGCCATAGACCTTTTGACCCAGCCAAGGTTTTCTGGGATTTTCCTACATTCATGGAGGAGCCGGGTATTTTCAGTAGATTCCTGCTTTCTCTATAAAGCCCCTCTTGTTCAGCTGCTTATAAATCCTTGATATGGAGGACTGTTGGTGAAGCTGGAAGATGGTTTTGGGGGGTGAGGTGGGAGACGAAAGAGAAGAACTTTATGTGGATTCTGCCCTGTAACTACATCTTCTCATGCCTGTCAGGGAACTTACGCTCCACACTCAGCCCCACTGTCTTTGCAGGAATCTCACCCACTCTTTTCTTTTGCCAGATCCACTGGCAAGCTGTCTGGGCTCCATTGTTGGATAGAGCAGCCTGAGCAGTGGAGGCAGAAAGGAAAGATATGCTCCAATATCCAGATGAGAATTGCCAGGTAGACATTTCCAGAAAGCTCAGCCCTACCTTCTAAGCTGTCAGCAGCCCAGAAATCCTTCAGTAATACCTCCACATGCCTGGTTCTGAACTTAGACACCGTACCAAGAAAATCAAGATTTCTTGCAGGTTTCATGGCCTGTGAGAGGAACCTGCTGTTGTGGGTAAGGAGGGAAGTGGTACACATCTAACCACGTGGAATCACAGAATCTCAGAGCTAACAGATCTTTAGAGATTAACTAGTCTAAAACCCTCAGTCTAGAAGCAAGGGACATGAGGCCCAGCAGGGTTAAGAACAGGTAGGGTTAAAGTCACCAGACTAACCCAGTTAGTTATAGCGCCGTGAGGAGTAGCAAAAAGAACTTGTGCCCTTGGTTTGGGGCCTTTTTCATTTCACCATTGCTGAGCAATGCACCAAAGCAAAACTCATTGTCAAAAATCAAGGATACCACAGTCATCCCTCAAGACTATTTTCCTGTTTACTTACTCGGTGACCTGCCCCAAAAAAACCTGTAATGGAGATAGGACAGTCACCATGGACCCCATTCAGCCGGTGAGAAAGCAGGCCCGGCCAGGTGTGTACTTTAGCCGAGGCCACTTGCAGCAGCCACCTCCACAGCTGGTTCCGGGTTGCCGGACGTTGCTTGGATTTATGGTCTAGGTATCCAGTTAAGTCCCATCCTGTGTAAAGCTCTAAAGGCTCGCTTATTTCTCTCTCTCTCTCTCTTAGGCTCATGCATAGACCGTTTAATGGTCATTTCCAGGAATTGGTTCTCATTTGTGGCAGGGATGTGCCCAGGACTCAGAATATTTCTAATGCTAGATTCTCAGGACGTGAAAAGACATTCTGAGGAAAAGGAGGTTTGGTACATTAATGAAGTTTTGGAAATGCTGAGAAACAACAAACATTCTTCTAGCAGGATCTTTCAGAGCCTTTACTATATGAAGGTGGATTGTGAAGCACCGGGGGTTTTCACCCCTTGGGGTGGGGACATTCTGTGTGTTTCCCAGCTGTGTTGGACTATTGTGTTTCAGTGAAGCATCTCTCAGGCTGGAGTGCCTCACATCACTCTTTGTTTGGGGAAGCCTGATGCACTAAACCAGGGGTTGGCCAACTCTTCGGTAAAGGGCCAGATGGTAAATGTTTTAGACTTTGCAGGTCATACAGTCTCTGCGGCAACGACTCGGTTCTGCCATTGCAGCACAAAAGCAGCCAGGCAGTCCAGAAACACATGACCTCGGCTGTATTCCCATAAAACTTTATTTCCAAAAACAAGAGGTAGGCTGGATTTGGCTCTTGAGCCAGAATCTGCCAGTCCCTGCACTAAGCCATGAAACCACACAGGACTCTCTTGCTCCCGCTCAGATCTGGAGATCAGATCCTATTCTTCCTCAAGAGCTTCCCTGATCACCTTTCTCCAGGATCACTCCTTCCTCCAAATGGCTTCAATACTTTCACTGGGAATTCAGCAGCAAGAATGTTCTGACTACCCCATCTTGGAGGAAGGAGCGAGGAGGGGAGGCAACCGGCCCAGCAAGGGTGTTGGCCACGAGGCTAGAACCAGGAGCGTTTCCAGCAGTGAGGCCGTTATAGGGAAAGCTAAGCTCCACCAGTGGTGGTACCAGTAGGAGTTCAAAGGGCCAGAGCAGAGCCAGATTAGAGTCCCAGGGCCGTGAGATTGCAGAGGGCAGAGATAAGATACGAGAAAGAACTTTCAGGGAAGGGAGCGGGGAAGCCCCAACTGTTTACAGCTCTCCTTTATGGGCTAACTGATGCAGGAGTAGGCAGGAGGGTTGATTTAAAGGGCCAGAGGCCAACAGCAGAGGAGGCCACCCCCACCCCCAACTTGGTATTGTCAGTGCTCTTGTGTTTCATCTTATACCTCCAGCTAGCATGATGCCTAGACCACTGAGGTGAGGGGCAGGCAAGCATCTACCTCTGGGCCAGAATCAGGGAAACCTCCTTGGGGATTTCTAAACTAGGATTAGAATCTAATTGAGGATGCAGGGAGGCCATTGATTTTCATAAGATCAAGCAGAGTCTCAGGTTAGAGCTCAATGCTGCAGTTCTACTTACCCTTCCACTTCCCTGCTTGTTAGCGTGTCTCTGCATAGCAGGGACTATCCTAGGTGTTTTCACATTGTGTTTTACAGTTAGAGTAACATTTCTGTAAGGTAGGTGTGATCAGTCCCACTTCACAGATGAGAAAACCGAGATCCAGAGAAATTAAGTTATACTACTCGGGAAAAAGCACACTGGGATTTGATGCAAAGCAGCCCACCTCCACTTCTCTCACTCTCTCTCTCTCTCTCTCTCTCTCTCTCTCTCTCTCTCTGTTTCTTAGGCTCATGCGTAGAAGTTTTCATAATCATTTCCAGGAATTGGTTATCTTTAGTCACCTAACTAGTTTATTACAATCCTGGCCTAATGAGGTATTTAAAAAAAAAAGTTCAGAGAGCCGGAACTAGAGCTAAAAATTCAGGCACCAGCCCTGAGGTCCTTGTTGACATTTGTACAAAAGGAGCTCAGGTCTTTATTTGCTGGAATGTCCATCTGTCTCAGGTTACTCGGGGCAAATGCATGACTCTAAGCCAACCTCTCAGCTCTCTGCTAACACTAACACGTTGGCGCTTTCTTCCTCTCCTCCAGCAGCCACTGTGGTCTGAGACATCCAGAATCAGTTAGATAACAGCCTCAGTCAGACCCTAGAGGAAGACACCTACACACAGAGACCCATAATGCACTTCAGCCAAGTTATTTGATCGTGCTCCCAGTGCAGATATCCCAGAGCTGAAAGCAAGGCTAACGTGGAATGGAGAATGGAGATTCTACTCAGAAAGAAACAAACCCTGCATTCAAGGCCCAGCACCACCACACTCTTCATTTTTCCAACGGGGACACAGCTTGGTTCACAGGTCCTCCCCCTGCCAGCCTGCTCCCTTCACTGTCAGCAGGAGGATGAGCTGTCATCCTACTGCCTGCTCTCTAAAGGGCCAGTTGAAATCCTTGTGGGCAGCAGAGAAGTGGCAGCCGCAGGAGATAACCCCAGGCTGCACCTCTGGAGGTACCTGCAGATCACCACTGCCAATGCCCCGGGCCTGCAGGCCACTGTTTGCCTCCTGGACGTGTTGCATCAAAGACATTGATTGAGGCTGGGCACCATGGCTCATGCCTATAATCCCAGCACTGTGGGGGACTGAGGCAGGAGGATCATTTGATGCCAGGAGTTTGAGACCAGCCTGGGCAACATAACAAGACCTCATTTCTACAAACAACAACAAAAAGACATGCATTTGCTGAGTAGAATCTGAACTCTTCCACGTTCTGCCTCTGCCAACCTCTGGCCTTGTTCCCACCCCTCACTTATTTGCTACCTGGATCTAGATCTACCAGTTCTGCTGTGAGCACACAGGGTCATACAAAGGCCACTTCTTTCACTGGGTGGCAAAGTTCTGGCTTCCTAATCATGAGTCCTTTAGAGAAGAAGAAGAAAGCTGGGGCTACTGTGTCCAAAGGTGTTTTCTAGAATGCTCTGCAATATGTCTAAAGATATTGCATTTCATTGCAGACAAGAGTTCAAGAAAAAGAATTCAGGATGTGGCTTCTTTAGGGCCTGGCATGGGCTGATTAGTAAATGCAACCGATCTAAACATTTTATGGGGCCAGCACTTTCTTCCCCTACCTCCACCAGGGGAGTACAGACAATTACAATATATATCACCAAACAGAAACAGACTCCCATTCTACAGATGGGAACATTGAGGCTCATAAGCACAGGCTGCAGGGGATTACAGGGGCTATTTTTCCAATCAGTGCCTACTAGCCAGGCAAGGCTTGGGCCGAGAGCCAGGCTCAGACCAGGAACAAGGAAACAGCAAGTCTTCAGGAGGACCCCAATGGCTTATGAGAGGGGCTGGGCCTTGTCACCTGACACTCCACCTGTTGACTTTGGATGTCTACTCCAAAAATCTTCCTCCTTCCGCTCCTTGCTAGCCAGGGTGTGGTGGTAAAAGAGCACAGGACAATGGTTCAGTAACCTCAAAAAAGGTTTGCTCACATGTCCTTGCCTCTCAGAAGCAGAGAATTAAAGCTCTTTGGAGTGTAGAGACTAGGCCCAAAGAAGAATTGAGAGAGCTTTTGGACCATGGCTGATTTTCCATTTCCAGAGCCTTTTAAAACAATTATTACTATTACTGTTATTATCATTATTATTGAGACATACTCTCACTCTCTCACCTAGGCTGGATGGA